CAAAAAAAAAAAAAAAAAAAAAAAAAAAATAAGCCATCTTTAGTTAAGAATACAATACCAAACACATTTTGTGTTAACTATTAGTATTGTGTGTGTCCTAATGCAACGTCAAATTTAATGCCTAGTTTTAACAAGCATGATGAAAATAAGGGGTTTACTGGTCACACCCCCTACTGAGTATTTGTTACTTTACTGTAGACAGATTCATTTCCTATAATTTTGTCTTCTTTTCGTACCATTTTAAAATATAAATTGCACAGAAGACTTTTAAGTAGTAACTTTTTTGAATTAAAACTTTTTTTAAAGGTCGGGTCATTAATTATCCATCCTACATCACCAGTATGAGAAACATGGGAAGGTTAGATCTCGACAAGTACGTGCAGATTTTAATTTTTTGCAACAATTTTGATATGGGTATACTAGTACCTGGGTGATACAGGAAAGGGAAATCCTTCTTGATTAACGGGAAATTACTGAATAATTTCTTGGAAATTATTTAAATTTAATTGTTTGCTACCCGAAAGTATAAATCTCATTCTACGCCTTTAACAAAATGATGAATATTAGTGGCAATTGCAGTAAACCAGGTGTGGTATTGGAAGGGAGCCAGTTAATTAAGCAGTAAATTAATTGCATTACCCAGTAGTTGGATTCATCAGGATTAAGAGTATTAATCTGATCAACTGATTACATTGCAGTGAGTCCCGGTGGAGATGGATTGATCTATGTAGACTGGTAGTCTCATTGGGAACAGTCCCTAGTTGATTAAAGATACACGTGAAGCTAAACGACCCAGATTTGTATCATAGTTTGCCAACAAAACTGCGATTGATATCTTGAAGGCATTTAAAAATTTTTTCTTATTTTTTGTTTATTATTTAATTTTATTTATAATTATTATTTTTTTTTATTTTTGGATCAGATTGAAGTGTAAAGAATGTCAGAAGCTAGGTATTAACACCTCCTTTATAATTACTAGTATCACAATAAGTAATTAGAGCAATTTCATCCCACCTCCTAGTGACATGTTTTTCTGCGGCAATCAGCTTCTATTTATCAGCACAAAATCATTTTTAAGAGATAACAACTGTTCATATGAGATTCATATTTCACAAGAAATACATTGTAAACAACTCTTAGAAATATGATACATTCCACCTTACCACCAATTACTAGTATCAAAATAATTCTGGAACTTGTGCTTGCCATCGGACCGCACGACCTCCATAGATGGCTACCCTTTGTAATAATCTATTAAGATAATATTATAAAAATCCCAAATTAAAAAAAAAAAAAACTTGGATTAATATGAATGTCAGAACAGATTGATTAGTCCATGATAAGTATGGAAAAATGACCATTTACCCTTGGATTTTTTTTTTCTTGCAAAAAAAAAAAAAAAAAAAAACATTAACAGTGAGCTGTTTTCCCTTTAAGGTGTCATTTTGAAATGGAACAACGCAGATACTGTTGATGGAATATTTCAGGCCTCCTCGGTATTGTTATTACAGGTTTGTTTTGACAACGCCGCTTTCCTTACCTGGGAAGTCAGAGTTGGTGATAACTGTAGGAACTTAGCAGAGGACAAGAAACTAAAAAGAATAAAACGTGATCGATATCTTGTTTGCCATTTATGTTTCCAGAAGTTGGTGTTTGCCACATCTGTCTTGTTGGATGCAAGACGTGGAATAGGCACATTGATTTGAGCTTTTTGGTATTTTATTATATTGATTTTGATGTATTGAAACATTGATGGCTGATGAAAAACTGATTTAGGCCTTACTGAAATTGTGAAAGACAACAGCTCTTATAAAGATTTCCTTGAAGCACGATTCAAAGCAACAACATGCAACTTTCAACATGCAAATTGGATGTTTTACGTTTACAGAAAACCCTCAAGGATTCGTCTGCATCAGAAGATAACATTCACTCCCGACTACGCCACACCAGAGCAGAGAAAGACGCCAGCATTGAACGACGCAAGAAAATAGATCTTGACCTGAGAGCACTGAATCATGAGATTTCAAAAAAGGTAATGATATTGTATATTAAATGCTGCATTCACAACTAGTTCATCAGCAGACTATGGGCACATTCACATCGAGTTGAGCCATGGTTCTGCAAAGCCACGACCTAAATATGGCGGACGTACATGAAAGGAAAACCGCCTAATCTTTTAATAGTCTTTCTGCCTCTCACACGCCTCCTCACGAGTCGTCCCTGCAGGGGTACTACAGTCATTAAATCTCGTCTCCATTAACCCGGAAGCTGGGGAGGCATGCGAGAGGCGGAGAGACTATTAAAAGATTAAGCGGTTTTCCTTTCCTGTACGTCCACCATATTTAGGTCATGGCTTTGTGGAGCCATGGCTCAACTCAATGTGAATGCGGCCTAACAGATCTACAGGTCAAATACAGCCGACCCGCTTTAAAGCTTGTCACATAATCCCCAGTAGACACTGAATAGGTTCCCCACAGGGATTACAAGGCGAGCTTTCAAGTGTGTGGGCGGCCATATTTGATCTGTGGGGGTGTTAGTGTGCGGATCAACTTGGGTTGTGAATGCAGTCGCCGGTCTGTAAATGTGAGTTAAGCAAAAGAGAGCTGTTTCTGATCAGAGGTGTGTGTGGTACTGTAACATTTGTTGTCTTTCATGTTTTTTTTTTTTTTTTGTAATATAAAGCACTAGGATTTCTTATAGCTTGTAATCTAATCTTAGAAACAAAAAAAAGGATGCCAAGGTAACTGTTCGTAAAGGACCTTAAAATTTTTTTGTACATATAATTATAAGTGCTTTCAACCTTCCGTCAAGGGTTTTCATAAATCAGGTAGAAAAACACCTTCAGTCTCTCTTAAAACAATTTAAAAAAAATGTTATTTGACATGAGATGGCGAACAACATATTTCTACATAAAATGCTAGGTGGTGGTTTTGATCAGCTGTTGTCATAGTGCCACACTGCAACAGTGTCCTAGCCTTCTTGCAGAGATTGACAATATTGCCAATTGGAATCCTTAATGAAAGAACAGGATGAAAACCCTTGTTAATGATTCTATTATTATTTAATTGGACACTAGTTAGTTTGATTGTACAGTATTTGGAATTGTTACAAAGCAATAGAAATTATTCTTGTAATTGGGCTTCATTTGCCCCTTGGCAACGGCATAGTATGTTTTGAACCTTTATCACAAAAATTTGTGTTTAATTTGAAATACAATTATTTGCAGTTTTCCAAGAAAAAACTTTTGTATAATTATATTATAATAATTTAAACCTTGGTTTGTCAGCAACCTGGGTTATTTATATTTTATGCATTGAATGGTGTCAGTGCAATTGATTGGTTGAATTATAACCAATTGGTATTTGTTCCAGATGGATGCCCTGACCAAAGTCCAGGCCACACTTCATTATAGAACGGAGAAAAGGATTCATGATGCCATAGGGTATTTATGAGAGCCAAAAGAAAATAATAATAATAATAATAATTATAATAATAAATAAATATAAATAAATAAATAAATAAATAAATAAATAGGAGAGAGAAAAAGAAAATTAGAAAATGATGTGCTGGAAAATAAAAATGATGGCATGGCAATATTGTTAAAAGAGTTGCATATATTCACTGAAAGATATACTAGTAATGTGATTCAGGGACAGGTTCAGCAATATTTTCTGACAGACTTCCAAATTATTCTTACTGATCCATCCTCCATGTTTGATCATCTTCCAACAGAAAAATTTAGATGCTGGTCACTGTAAACAAGAAAAATTCTGGCCTTCTTCTGGTAGACCCAGAAGACGGCTTTCATCTGCCCTGTCATTGGCTGAATTTTAACCAACGGGTATGCATCATTTGCAGGAAACTGGAGCACCAGTTGAAAACCCACAACTTTAAGCTGAGTGAAGAGAGAAAAATTGTAGCAGAAATTGACAGTTTACGGAGATCAAAGAAGGTGTTAAGGTAGATATATGAATGGTGGAGGATGTTAAAGGAACTGTTCACAATGGATTCTATCAGCCTAGCTACTACACAGAATCTTGCTGAATGCAATCAGGGCCCCGTATCTCGAAAGCATCCTGTATTGCGAATCCCTATATCAAATAGAGGCTACAATGTATTATATGGGATGAGTATGGGCGAGTGATGGAATCAAGACGCTTGCGCACGTGTGCAACAAAGCGAACCTTTCGAGATACGGGGCCCAGATTAACACACGACATACTTGTGTAATCACCAGCTTAAAGGGATAATAACTCTTCGTGTGAGATCTATATTTCACAATAAAAACATTGTAAACAACTCATAGAAATATAATATATTCTTTTTTACCACAAAAACAGCAGTTATAGCTATTTTATCTGATATCTGAGCTTGTCTTTAGACCACATGACCTCCATTGATGGCTATACTCTGTTTAAATCTCTTAAGAGATTTTAACAAAAAAACCAAACTTTTTTAGAAAAAAACAGGGACTAACTTTGAATGTAAAAATGGATTCATTAACCATTGGTACATATAAGTACGTGAAAATTGTTGTTTACTTCAGGAAAATTCTTTTTTTGGCCAAAACAAAGAGTTATTCTCCCTTTAACTGTGTATTACTCGGTGCCAAGAGGAGGCACGTTAGTCTAGTAATATGATTGCATTCAACGAGGATTCAGATGGAATCAGTGCACAGTAGATAGGCTGAAAAAATACATAGTGAATGAACACTGATACCCACCCACATGTGCAAATACACATACAAAAGAATGAATAAAGCTGCAAAATATTGAATGGAATCTTTGCTTTATAAGCTGTTAGGAACTATATGTCTCTGTTTATGTCTGTTCATGCATTCTTGTAAGGTACATGGCTGGATCTTTCTTTCTCAACATGCACCATGGTATAAATGAACTATTTGTGAAGTTTTTGTATGAGATTAAGTGGTGCTGTCCACTTTTGTCTTCACAGTAACTGTATTGCACCTTTAACAAATATATCTTGTCTTTTGATCTGAGTGATGTCTTTATTTCTTCCAGTCAATATTTGACCCAGAAGGCAGAGATAGAAGAGATGAGAGATAGACAGAGAAAGATGAGAGAAGAAAGAGATGTAAGTGCATCCTTTTTCTTGCATGTTGATTTTTTTTTCTTTTCAAGTTTTGATTTTAATATATGGCATGGTTACACCATACGGTATATTAGAAATAATAAAATTTGGAAGCAAGATTGTTGCAAGTAAAAGCTTTGAAAACCATAGAAAATAGGTCTGTTAGATTATTTTTATTAGTAATCATACAGGCAGCTGGCCCTTACTGGTGAAGTGCGTCCATGAAAATGGGATTTATAATATGCAAAGGATTTAAAATTGAAAATACACTAGCATACACCTTCATATTTTGATCATTTTGGGTCTTGATCACCAGATAAAAATAACCCTTTACTCTTTCAATGTACATAAGTTATTCATTAGTTATTTATTATAAGTAGTAATAGTAGTGGTTGTTGTATCACAGTAGTAATAGTATTACTCTTTCACTGTTGGTTCAAAAACAAGTCGATGAAACAAAGAGCAAAAAAGTGGAATAAATTATATTATAATTATTATTATTATTATTATTATTATTTCAGAGCCAGTTTAAAATAGTCACAGGTCTGAAGAGCAAGGAAGAAGAACAGAGGCGCACCTTGAGTGCATCACGCTCCAAGACAGAGACCCTAAAGAGAGGTACAGGAGAATGATTGTGCTAGATGAGACTGGTGGCACACCTAACACATTTCATGTCAATCTCTCTCTCTCTCGCTCTCTCAGTGCACATGCGCATGCACATACACACACACACACACACACACACTCTCTCAGAAAGACAACATTCATAACATAAATGCTTGTTATGTTCGGCATGCTACATTTTGTTAATTGAAAATTTAAATAGATTTGGAGGAAATGTGTGCATTTTTTAAATTTTTCTTTCTTTATTTATTTTTGGTACTTTTGATGTCAGTGAAAAAAAAGATTATTTCAAGAAATTATAGAACCAGTTTTGGTTTCTATTTTGATTTCTGATCTATTTATCAGAGTTAGACCAGCTTTATGAGCAGAAGAGGAAGATTGTATCAGAATTTAAGAAGGAAGAAAAAGACTACAATGCAGAGAGAAGTGAGATAAGGAAGAAACACAGACAGGAGAGCTTTAAGAAACGGGAGGAGGAACGTAGAGCACATGCTGAGGCGAAGCAGAAGGAAATGTAAGGGTGCATTCCCAGAGATTTAGATTTAGATCGACCTTATTCCCTGGGGCTTCACGCTAAATTGCAGTCAGCCGAGCGCGCACCATAGTTAATTACCCCCTTACAGCGATTAGTAGGCGGGATAGACAATTAAGCCGGCTTAGCTGACAGTAATCTAGTGAGACTCCCCATGGGGATAGATCGCTCTAAAATCTGTGGGAATAGGGTCTAAGTCAATCTTCAACCCTGATTCTAAGTATTCAAACAGTTGGATATGTCTTAAAGTGTTGGAAGTTCTATCAGAGATGTTTACCAATAGTTTTAGCTTTTAGCTGTTTTATGATGAAGATGGCATTATTTTATGGAAGTGATGGATCCTCATTTCAAGGCTATAGGTAATGCCCAAAAGCTGTTGAAAAAAAAAACTCTAATAACCATATCCATTAAGTTTCCATGCATTTTCAACCCTATCTAGATATGACCATATATTTCAGTGTTCAAAAGAAAACTGTAGTCGATAGTTTTACTGTACTTGAAATCTCCCTACTGTTACAACTTATTCTGATATGTTGCAATATTTTTTGATATTCAGAGAGCAATACGAGGCCACAAGAGAACCCTATGAAAATGAAAAACTAATGTGTTCAGCATTGATCACCTATCTGCAGCGTTTTCTCAATCCAGAGACAAGGACAGAAACGGCAGGAGACGTGGGCGTCCAGGGTAAGATCTTTTACAGCATCATTGGCTGACTAGAGTTGAGCAGATTTGTGTAGTTTTAACAACAGAAAATGTCCATGTCATCTTTTTGATTTTGTGTTATATTGTCAAGGACCCCATACTTTGTTTGAGGAATAACAGATCTGTTCGTATTAAATAATTTTAAATTTATTGTCATATTTCCAGGAAAGCCCTCCATTGTAGAAGAGGCAGAAGGCACGTTCCTATTAAATGATTTTAAATTCAGTCTGACATTTCCATTTCCAGGAAATCCCTCCATTGTAGAAGAGGCAGAAAGCATGTTCATATTAAAAAATCCTAAATTCATTGTTATATTTCCAGAAAATCCCTCCATTGTAGAAGAGGCAGAAGGCATGTATGTGTTAAGGAAAAGGTCCACTGAGGAAGACACCATCCCTGGAGGATGGAAGAAGCAGACTTCTAAGAGAAGCAAAAGGGACAGGAAGAGAGCTCAGGTATGTCAGATACACATTAGAGATATGTAGATTATGAAAACTTCTCCAGGATTAAGGGAAATTTTGATTTGTCATGGATTAAAAAAAAAAATACATCACCCTAGTATCATTGCTCAAACTTGGATTTAATTTGGATGTTTTGTACCATTTATAAAAAAAATATTCTGAAGAAATAAAGGTTCATTTGGGCTTCCTTGTTTTCCTGTGATTTCAAAAGAAAAATAGATATGGGAATTTTTAGGACAGACAAATACAAATGTGATATAAATGGAATATCAAAGCTCAACCCTCACCACCTGCATCTGAGTGTCAAGAATGTTATTCCATATTCTTTATTTATTTGATTGAGACAACTATAGGATTAATGAAGGCATACATCATTTGCTATTAGGTATTTGACCTATTTTGGAACAAGCCAATCATATCATTGACTATGAAGTAAACATAATTTGGAGTTATATAATTGGCTGTATACTTGACCTATTTTAGAACAAGCCAATCAGTCACACTCCTCAGACCTTGACCCAGTTTGCTGCTCTCAATCTTATGGCACCAGCCCACACAGACGAGATTACAGCTTCTATTGAACAGCTTCGTGCCAGAAAGGTAACTTTCACAACAAAAGTGGCGATTCTCGATGTTACAAGACATGATGAAAAATAATTTATGTGGCTCATATTTTAATGTTTGGGAACATTTTGTAGAAACCCTTTATTCACAGAAAAAATTAATTTTAGAGGTACCACAGTTACTGTTTTTAATTTACTGAGTGGCATTGTTTGTTAAAGAGACAGCTTTCTTTTGGAAATGGCATGACTGAATTTCTTTTACGATAGAAATTAATTTTTTGCACTTTTTGTTGATGTTTATTCCTTTATAGCCCTTATAGCATGTTGATTTTCTTCCTTTATAGCCCTTATAGCATCAGTATTTTTACCAGGATTGCTGTCTTTTTTTTTTTTTTTTTTTAATCCAGCATGTTTTAATAAAAACATTGTCATTGCAGAAATACTACGATCACCTTCCTGGTCCAGTCCGAGGGGAAGTTCGTACCTTGCCAGATATCAGCGTTCAAGAGGTTGAACACCACAGTCTTTCCTCCCTTCCTGAGAGTGCAGACAGCAATGCATTTAGTTACTCGCGCTCGATTTCGCACACAGAATCCGAGGGTTCCTATGAGCAGCCCATGTGTGTGACAGATCTGGAGGAAAGTGCCGAGGAGGGTGAGAAGGAGAACGGGAAAGAGGATCCAATTTGTTCTTCATTTCAAGCTTCACAGGGCACTGAGATGCTTGTAGAAAATGTAGTATCAGAATGCGTGGGTGCAAGTGGTGCAGCTCCCCTAAATGCCACAGCCTCACAGGAAGAAGGAACACTATCTGTTGGCATCGAGGAACCTGATTGCGATTCAGGGCCACGTAGTTCGACTGAATCTACCTCATCCGACAGCAGCCATTCCACTGTCACTGAACATACAGCTGGTGACAGCCCCTCACATGATGCATCACATGACAAGTCACATGGTACCCCATGTGATCCCCTTCTCATTCCACAGCTAACCAAATCACAAGTGTCTAGAGACAAGGAAAGACATGTTATTTTTAAAGACAGCAGCGATGTCATTGATCCAATAGAAGTTGATATGGTACATGAAGAATGCTGTGAGGAAGAGAGCAAAAATGTAAACAAGACTGTAGATGGGGCTTCAGGCAAGACAAGCCCACTGGTTACCTCTTATTCAGGGCATTTACCAAGAAAAAGACGAGAAATAGAGAGTTTGCAAGATATTTTTGATAAACTTGACTTTGCAGAATTAGATGGAGAAAACAATCCGAGTCTTTGACCTTTAATGATCTAACTTAGGTCGAGGTCATTTTTTAAAAAAGAAACATGGTGTTGGTTGCCTTTAAAAAAGAGACATTAATGTTTTTTGTATGACTTTATTTTTCTAGGAGCCTTGGTTGTCTTCTAGTTTTAAGTTAAAATTAGTTTTATTGAAAAACATCAGTGGGAGTGAAGAAAAATTGCTAGGAATTATTGACGGAGAAATTCTGATATATACAAAGACGAATGCTACACATCCAATGGTTTTAAAACATAGTATTTGCTTCTTCATTTTCACTTACTTATGTTTCTCTTTTTAAAAGGATTACGATTGATAGTGAGTAAGGTTTGTATTTACAAACAAAAGCTGAGACTAATTTTTAAACTGTTCATTTGCAACGACTTTATTACATTGGCATATCAAACTATTTTTTTATGAAAGTATTATATTTTCCTGGTAAATACAATTTTACCACTTGACTTTTATCAGATGCACAAACCCGAGCTTTAATGACTCTACTTTTAAAAAGAGTTTTACAGCTTTAAAGCTGCTGACTAAAAGATTATTTTAAATGGGATGAAAATTTGTTGCGAACGTAATTAGAAAAGGGTAATAATGTAGTAATGTAGTTCTGATTTTTTTAGACATCCAATTGATTACAAGTTATTTAAATGATTACCCTTGTTTACTTTTTGGTATTGTCATCATTATATTTATTTATTGTTCCACGTTTTACGTCGTGTAATGTGTGGGTGAGGTGACATTTGGCGCAGACGTATACGTGCGCCCTCTATCGTCAATGTGATAAAGAGGCAAATGTTCAGAGCACTATTATCGACATGTACATGAATGGAAGTTATACTATTAGGTATAAATTTGATTGTTTTGTTATCATATTGGCCTAATACAGATGTATGGATGATGTGTTGCAGATATCAGCTTTCGTCTCTCTCTCTCTCTCTCTCTCAAACACACACACACACACACACACACACACACACACACACTATGATGTAATTGCATGAAAAAAATCCGCGTCCTTATGATAAATACGAGGACGACTTCACGTTCAAACAACACTGCCATTACCCTGCTGAAAGCCTTTGTCCATGTTTTGCAAGTTAATATTTCTGTCCATGTTTAGTCAATTGAACTTCGTCTGCGTGAGTGCGAGCGACTGTGATCCGGTAAATAAATTGAATATGCTCATCGGGCATGATGAACCGTTGGCGCGAAACTGCCTTTTCAGTTTATTTAATAGCCTATTTGTGTAGTAGAAGCACGACTACAGCAAGGTATCTCATAGTTAAGGGCTGTGCTACATAAATCACTCCATTTCCTTTTCTAATGAATTTGAATTAAGTCTCTTTAATTTCAATTATCTCTTAAGGTTGAGCGCGATTTTCATGACACGCCGTCGGTGATTTAGAAGTTTGAAAATTGCCTTTGAATTCTTTGTTGGTTTCTGCCAAAGGGTGTCTTCGTCCTAGGAAGTGGAAATAATAGTGAATTAAAATAAAATACATTTATAAATGAGTAAAATTAAGTAAGCCTGGTGCCCATACGTCTTTGAAAGGGTAAAAAGACAATGAGCCTGAATCGTTTTCTTTGTTGTATGTGCATAATTTAAATAATTTATGACCTTTTTTTTTTTTTTTGGGGGGGGGGGATCCTTGTCTTGCTTCGGTTACAAGAGACGTCTTCAGTTATATTAACCTTGCAAGAGAACCTATAGAAGCAGATTTAAATAACCCATATAGCCTACTCGTCGTCATTGTGAAAACAACGCGATGTGTAAAATTCTGTACTGGGATCACGAGCCTCTAGCACAAGACTTTGCAGAAAACTATCGTCTGCTCATGAACAGTTCAAAATGACTGAGGTTTGTACACGGACATTTCTTTTGCTCTTTCCAAGACGGCTTAAAGATGTCCATTAATGAGAATACTAGTTTGACCAGCTGAACAGAAAAGGATTTAAATATTGTATCAGATGTTTAAGAAGGAAGAAAAAGACAACAGTGCAGAAAAAATGAGATAAAAAAGAAACAGACAGGAGAGCTTTAAGAAAAGGGAAAAAGAACGTAGTGTGCCTGATGAGCAAAACTGGAGAAGATTTAATTTTTTTCTAACCCATTTATACTGAAATCGAGGACACAAAACTCATATATACATTGACACTTAATAATTCTGTTGGTTGCGGAGGGGTTAATGCTCTCTCTCAGTTGGGATAATTAACGCTAAGATGTCATCGTTCAGCGAGCACGGGACTCCCGGGACAGGCAGACGACATCAATTTAGAGGCCCGAAAGGGACATTAAGAGTCTTTAAACTGTATCTGAACAAACCACGTAGCAGTGAACGGTGCGAGTCACCGGAATAAATGGACATTATTGATAATGTTCTGGACTGTCTTGTAGTAGAGATTGGGCAAACGGGCTCAAACTGTGTCTTTGAGATAGAGAATTTTTTAACAGGTCTCAAAGTAAAAATCAGAGGATTGCAATTTATGTAAATTCTGTTTAGCAGACGATAGCTGTAAAATGGACGGGAAACAACACCTGTGTTTTTTGTTCTTGGTTTGTTTTCTGCAATATATGGCAACTGGAGCTCCTTTATCAGAGGTAACTATTTTCCTTTAATTTCTTTACTATTGACATTATTTTTATCCTTATTTATTTATTTATTATTTTTTTAATGTAGTGATTCTTCTTAATGCAGTCGATTGTGTAGACGATTTCAAATAATGACATTAAGTATTATTCCATATTATTATTATTTTTTTTTGTATCGGTGTTGCTTGTTTATATGACAAGATTTAATTTCTTTATCAGTTGATTAGCAGTCAGTCAGTCATTTATTTATTCATTTATTACACAAGCTGTAAAAAGATGAGAATAATATTGATAAGTTTTTGCGGATTGCTCAAACTCGGCACACAGAAACGCCTTTGCACATGAAGTCGTGATAAACATAGACATACCTTTACTACCGGCGTTTCATTTTTTAGAGTCTTGTAATAAAACACAATTCGACAAATCAGACGGTTCAGTTGACTCTGGAAAATGAGATTACAGAGGATGAGATTTCGTCGCAGATGTTCGAAGAGTACCGCTGTAAACTGGGGCGGCTAGAGTACTGCTACTGCAAGGAACAAAGGTTAAAAGACGTAAGTAGCTTTTTTATGGCCGCATTCACAACCAAAGTTGATCCGCGAACTAACAAATCCTCGGATCAAATATGGCCGACCTACTTGAAAACTCACTGTGTAATTCACCGCGTGGAATCTTTTCAGTGTTTATTTGGGGATTGTGGCGACTGACTAAAAAGCTTGCCATCTAATCCGCTAAAAGACACTGAATAGATTCCCCCGTGGGAAAGTATTCAAGTGGATTGGCCATATTTGACCCGTGGACTAGTTAGTCCGCGCTGTTCTGAATACAGCCTTGTTCTGAATGCGCTATTTCACTACACATTAGACCTTCTTTAATGGATAACATCTGTTACGATTGTCTCATTCTTACAAATGGTTAATGAATCGCTTCCTACATTCAAAATTATTCCCGATTTTAATTTTTATTTTTCTATTTAATTTTTTTATAATCTCTGAATAGATAATTACGGAGGTAAAGCCATCTATGAAGGGACAGTTGGTCTGGTGGCAAGCACATATTCCAGAATAATTGCGATAACCGCTGTTTTGGTGATAAAATGGAATTCCTTGTTTTTCTATGAGTTGTTTGCAATGTATTTATCGTGAGATATGCATATCATACGAATAGCTGTTGTCCCTTTAAAAACCAAATGGTCTCAGACAACCTGCAAGGAAAAGTCTTTAGAGGTTGCAAGTCTGAATAGCGAACTTGCTATGCTGAAGCAAGGACAGATGGGTAAAAACGGGCAGAGTTGGCGCTGCCCACCGCTTATTTTTAACTACAGTAGTCCTAAGCCCTATGCCAAGAGTAGGGGGGGTTTAAGGAAACCCCCCCCCCCCCCCCCCCGGATTCAAAGTCGCTTTTCCCCCCAACTTAAAATGTGCTTCCAACGTGCCCGAGGAGGGTATAATAATTCAAAAGAATGAACCTTAAAGTAGGATGGAAAGAAAGCATTGTACATTTATTTCGTCGAAAAGTACGTTGGTATTAGATATTGGGATTAATATGATGATATCGGAAAACCAACAGTGTTTATGACCAAGAAGAATGACGTGAACCAATACTGACAAATGTTCTAAGATATATCAATAAATATATAAACTTATATCAAAATTTCTTTAAACGCGTCCATTATTTCTATTCTTATGTGGTAACTGAAAACATACATGCTACATAATAATGACAAATTTAAAGTAAAAGAAATGAATTAGATGTCAAGGAAGAAGAAAGTATTGTACAAATGTCAACAAGCCAGCGCATTCCAAATGATGGACCCTAGGTTAAATTGATTTGGAAATAAAAAGAAAAAAGGAAAAAGTAGGAAGTATTGAACAAACGAATGTAAACATACAAAAAGAAAAATTCAAATGCATGGCTGCTACTGCTTCAACACATAAACCATACAGATGTATGTCAGATTGCATTGCTGTAATGTAACCATGACTAGATTGGAGCTTGAATGTAGAAACGATGTGCTCAGTTTTGCCCAGACGAACTGATGCGTGGGGCTTTATGTGTAGCAAAAAAGCCTTGTAATGGATATTTGGTTCATAAATGAAAATAAGAGATACTTATTCTCCATTATTTGCCGCCATTCTACACGGTATTTTGGGAAGAAGAATGTCGTTGGGTAAAAAAGTAAATCGTATTGTTCACCTTTAAGGCATGGCCTTAAGACCCTTCACCAAAGTGGCTTGTTCACGTGAATAACAAGTCGATGTGGGAAGCGATTTACCAATGTATTAAAACAGCCAATTAGAGAAATATTTTCCCGATAAAACCTGGTAATGTTCACTTTTATTAAAAATGAGAGACAATAACTGTGCCTGTCTCAAAAGCGTTCTCCGGCCGTTCCCGTTAGTTCTTCAGCGCATACAAAATGAGTAACCTGAAAAGGATAACAACAGTTCATTTTGGAAAAAAATTTCCTTGAGTAAACAACAATTTTCCCATACTTACCAATGGTTAACGAATCCATTTCTACATTCAAAGTTAGTCTCTGCTTTTTTTCCTAAAGACTTCTTTAAAAATAAATAAATAAATAAATAAATAAATCATCACCCAGCTGGCCTTTGACAAAGATAAAATAAAAGGAACGCCAGTGCAAAACAATTCCCAGCGTAATGGGACGACATGGTGCGCTCCCATTGTGGTCGGTCACATCTCAACCCGAAGTGCGGTGAGCCGCTAATTGTGTTTATATGGTCTCTCTATGTACCTGCGCAGTTAACTACGGTCACATTTAATGTCTCACCTAAAACTACGTTGATGAAGTGTGGATTTTTTTTATCTCTTTGAACGCACCGTACTTTAAAAATGTTTTTGACCGAAGTCTTTCAAAGGGCTTTCATTAAGAGTAATTTATTGGAGATAATTGGAGTTAATTGGATTATTCGTCTCAGATCAACAAATTAATGGACAATCCCTCATTTTAAAAGTAATAAACGTATTATAGGCTATTTTTTTTCTTTTTTTTTTTTTAGGATTATGTCATATAATTACTATTTAGTAGCAAAAGGAAACAAATAATTTATTTGAAAAGGGATTTTATTTTGAAAGCGAAAAAAATTACCCAAAGCATAGGCCCACTCTTTCTCAGAAAGCAACAATAACATTTAAGAAACAAATTAAACAATTAAGGTGTTTTACTTTTATTATGATATCACCCAATATTGAGGCCGCGCTTAGGCACTCTGAGCTTCCAGGTTTACTAAGAAACGAGCTTTAACCCCAGCGTGTCTTCCATAGTATATATGAGTTTTTATTATCTCAGGAATCAGGGTGCGCCAGGCGATATCTCATTGTTTCATCCTCTTTTCTAGTGCCCTTCGTCGTCCTACTGCAGCGATGACATGCGCAGTGGCGACATTCTGCTGACTCCAGAAGAAATCGATGACGCTCTCTGGCAATGTGAGGAAGGAAATGGAGACCTGTCGTCTGCTAAAACACCAAAAGAGCGCCAAAAACGAAAAGTGGTCTCTGATCTGAGGAAAAAATGGGACCTGCCCATCATCTACACATTTGATAAAATACACAGGCATAGTAAGCGTCAGAACTACAACAAAAATAACGAAAACAGCAATTACCAAAAGAAAGTTAAAAGACTTACAGAGGAAAACAGGTCCCATCAACTACAAAACATAGACATGGAAATCTGAATCGTGTTCATAAATAGAAATCACAAAATAAAGAATTAACATTGGATTCCTATATATTGAAATTCCTCCACCTGTGGAACAAATACGGTAGGCCTACCCCTTTTTTCGTTTTATTATTTAGGGTCTAGGTGTAGGCCTATAGGCCTATCATAAAATCGTATCAATAATAAGGCGTAAACAAAGTCCATTTCTGTTTCAGGCCAAGATGAAATAGAGACAATCAGATCAATTATCAAGGAGTGGGAGCAAGTCACATGTGTACGGTTCATGGAAGGAACCGATTCCTTACGTCAACCACTTCTCATCTTTTCTAGGCAAAATGGGTAAGTAATGATTAGGCCTATAGAGCCACGGCATGTTTGATAGCGGTATATTGATCACTGGCGGACCGAGGCGAACCAAGACTAAATATGGTAAAAGAGGGGTCACAATAATTATTTCACACAATTTCACCGTATGGGACAATTAGGGCCTACCGTAATATATAGGAAATAAGGTTAAGACTTGATTCGATTTGTCACGCTTTCTTTGTTATCCTTTTTATTTGGAGGGGAGGGGATTGCACAGAAAAGAGAGAAGGAGTGCTTTGAAGCCGGGGAGGGGGGTCACGTAGTCGTATGGTATTTTTTTCGGTTGGTCAGCCACTATTGTTCTTGTTTGTTGTCTGTTGTTTAGGTCCTTTTGACATCTTGACAATACGCAATACGGTTTAAAACTTGTCGTTGGAAAGAGCCGATTTTGATTTATAATTCGTATCGAACTGAATAACACATTGAACCTGCGCTGACTGTATTAAATAGGAGAAAACACTTCACTTCAAAAGAATGGAGTTATTGTTCAACGTGAATTGCCAAAACAAACAAAACTTAATTTGAACAAAAAGTGTCACACATGCATGTGCAGGCAACCTTTATCCTTTAATTGATTAATAAATGATTTTTTTCGCTTTTTTTTTTTTTCAGTTGTGCGTCTCACGTGGGCCGATATACAGGCCAGACCCGTCACAACACACAAATGGTCTACTTCGACAGCAGCTGTTTTGTCAATGTAAGCGTTAACTGTCAACACTTTATGCATGAACCACCAATTAAAAAAGAAAATAAAACACAGACTGCACGGTCCTTAAATATCATACCTTCTTAAATCGCATGTGAAAGATAAGATGTTCTACTAATACATCGTCCCTTCAATACATGCAGTTTTATATAGTGTTATTTCCAAGATTCCTGCTAATGATTTTTTTTTTATTTATTCATTTTACACCCCTTGTATCATTTTTTATTAAAGATAATACTTGATCGGTAATTCTTCCCTCAGATTGATATCATACGCCACGAGATTGGTCACGCCCTTGGATTAACTCACGAACAGTCTCGTCCAGATCGAGATTCTTACGTCACAATTCTGAAAGAAAACTTAGAACCGTACTTGCAATACCAATTCAAGGCGAAAGGTCCATCAGAAGTAAATACATTCAATCTCCCGTACGACGTTGGCTCTCTCATGCATTACCCGGACAAAGTGAGTTTCTTTTATTGTTCATGTAGTAAAATAGGGGAGGTCATTGTCATTTTATAGTGAACAAGTTCTTTAGCTATATATATATATCTGTGAGCGTATGCATATTTTTCCTTTTTATTGATTTTAGACAAAATATTTTTTCAATATAACTGAGGGAAATTATCACGTAGTCGAGGATAACACGACAAATTGATTATGTCACGATCGATACAGTCTGACTTTTGTAAACAGCTATTTATTGACACAAAAGCAAATTCCTTACGTGTCACGTCTTACTTTTTGCAAAGTGCTTTTAAAGAAATTATAAGATGTCTGTTTTCTTTTTCTCCATAACTGTTTTTCTAGATGTTTGGCAAGGTGGTATATGATAAGAACAACGTCCTCGTTAATCTTCGGACCATTCTGGCCAAAGATCCTCTTCTCCAGAGAAGTGTAGGGACCTCTACCGGTATACAATTCTTTGACGCCAAGGCTGTGAATATGTTGTACTGTCCTGGTAAGTGAGACATCTACGGTGTAACGTGACAAAGTCAGATTAGTGGTACTTTCGGTTCTTTTTTTTTTTTTTTTTTTTTTTTTTTGACGCCTATATTGATCTTTTGTGGGATATATAAATTGCATATTTGGACTGTGCAGTGAAGGTGTATGCTATTTTTTCTCGAATGTTTTCAATTTATTTTCGTATAGATACGTGCAAGAATTCCAATCTGTATTGCGAGAACGAAGGCTATCCCAACCCAAACGAAATGTCCAGGTGCTCTTCTTGTCTCTGTCCTGAAGGTTTGAGTGGAATAAGGTGTGACAGAGTAATGTCATCTAAAGGTAACTATTATGCCAATTTATTATAATTAATGGCAGATACGGAGGAGATACAGCAGGCACATGGTCTCTCTTATTTGCTAAGATACCTTCATTTTCCTACCCCAAAACCTTATGATGAATAAAACGAGACAAAACCAAGCAATTTGTACATTCCTGTGTCTCATATATTGTACTGAAATTGTTTTCGGGTGTTGTTTTATATAATTTTGCCCTGTGCACCCCCTTTGTAAAAGAGAAGTGGCTTGGTTTCTATAGTTTCTCCTAGAAATCCAAGTTTCATTTTTTAAAGATAAAAATAAGGCAAATATAAGTATATAATGTATGCAATATCTGGAATTCCTCAGTTCACACCTGTTTGATGGAACCTGTAGGCTTTATCAATTTTATTATTTACTGTCTACTGCTGACAGTTTGTACAGGAAAACTTCCTGTTCTTAAAATTTCAGATTTACAGTGCTTGCTTTCAGTTGCTCTCAGTTTTAGGGGGGGAGGGGAGGGGAGCAAAAATAGAAAATTTATATGACAATGGGGTGGAAAATTTGCCAAGTTCGTCTCGGTCATCTTGTCACACTTTCTGATTTCAATTATAGGGCAACACTGCGGGGCTGTTTTGGAGGCCACCGAATATGAGCAGACAATAGAATCCCCCGGTTATGACGTAGCAATGCGATTTGGGAATCGATATAGAGACACGCCGTACGCACGTGGCCAGCAATGCAGCTGGCTCATCAAGGTGACAAGTTACTTTTATTGACATCTAGAAAAGCGCAGACCTCCGCCAAGGCAGCGATTTTTGATTATTATTGAGTATTGATTGATTATTGATCCGAATCACCACCAAAAACTAACCATCTCTTCCTTGGCCCACTTCTGACAGTTCCTGAAAATTTTGTCAAAATGGGTCCATAACTTTTTGAGTTGATGACAAACAAACAGACAAACAGGGGTGAAAACATAACCTCCTTGGTGGAGGTAATTACTTTTAGTAAAAGAAACGATATTTGAAATTTTAGCGCTAAAATGCTTTGATAGACTTGCCAAAATGCTTTCACACAATATTTGTACACTGTGTATTAAATTATTATTATTTTTTAGATCCATCATTTATTTACTTATTTGTGAATTTATTTATTTATTTGTGTAATTATTTGATCTGCTGTTCACAGGCACCTCCCGGTCATGTAATTAGCCTGTACTTCAAAGGTCCGATATTCAACATAGCGGCATTTGCTGATGGTCTTTGTAACGACTACGTAGAAATACGCTACGGGAAGTCCATAGGTACCTCTGGGGCGAGGTAATGCATCTTTGTTTATTTGCATATTAACAAATAACAAATCAATGCAAAAGTTAAAGGGATAATAACTCTTCGTATGAGGTTTACATTTCACAATAAAAACATTGTGAATAACTCATAGAAATATAACATATTCTGTTTTACCGCAAAAACGGCAGTTATAGCTATTATTCTGATATCTGAGCTTGTCTTTAGACCTTGTGACCTCCATTGACGGCTATACTCTGTTAAAATATCTTAAGAGATTTTAACAAAAAACCAAACTTTTTAGAAAAAAACCAGGGACTAACTTTGAATGAACAAATGGATTCATTAACCACTGGTAAGTATGGGAAAATTGTTGTTTACTCCAGGAAAATTCATTTTTTGGCCAAAACGAAGAGTTATTATCCCTTTAAATCAATGTTGTTTACTATAATTTTGCAAAAGCCTAGAACAATACTCTTCTGTGGTCTATACATTTGTTACAAGAACGAAAAATGGTTATATTTTAAAGATAATCCTACTTCATAAATTCCTTGCATGGAATTAGATGCAGACCGTTTGTTCCTGATAATTACTTACAACTGCTAGTCCACAGCAGTTCATAGCAGTTGACTATAAACACACTCACATGGTCGATACTTTTAACAGGTTTTGCGGTTCGGAAATCCCGACTAAGACGATAACCACCCTGGGCAATGCAGCGACCGTCCTTTTCCGTGCATCTGAACGAGAATGGCCGATAGACAGGGTTGGATTTAAACTAGCCTATAAGATCCACAGAAAATCGCCCAATCAGGGAACGTTTGATAATTTTCTGCGGAACGATAATTTGCGAGCTTTCTTCGGCGTTAAGTTCGACCATCAGGTTCAAGTTATCAGACCTCTTATCAAACCGATGCCTAATAATCTTTTAGCATATTTTAATAGCCTTTTACGACGATGACTGATGATAGGTAAGATAAAAGAATGTAATATAAAATTATATTCTATTATATCATATAAGATAAGAATACTAACCAATGATTAATGAAAACAGAAACATCGTAAACCGTTTTCTTTTGGGAGCTATGAACTAAAATAAAAGAAGATAATGACAGTATTTATTTATAAGCATTAAAGGTAAGAAAAAAATGTATGCTGCAATGAAATAAAGTTATTACACTGCACAATGCAAGTTGTCACCGAACATAGGTGAAACAAGGCATAATACAGTATTGTGCGATCCCAAGCAGAAGTTTATTATTGACAGAAGTTTTACTTGGTGAAACCAATTACTTACGGGTATTCCTTCACACAAGACCGTTTAGCTTGTATGCCATTCTGATGTTACATGTGTGTTTGTTATATTGGAATAATTATAAATATATATACACTAGACTCAAACACTGTAATTCTATGTTGCACTTTTCACTTTCACTGTACATTTCAATAAAGTACATGAAATGAAAATGAAAAACAATCGAGTTACCACTTTTAATTTACGTTTATTAATACTGGTGTTGAAAGTCGCTTTTAGATATACGAACAGATTGCTTTTTGATCCAAGGGATGATGTAACATTTTTTAATATTAATTTTATTGTGTTGATGCCCAATTAGAAAGCCGTCTTGAGAGAATCTGCTGTCGCCATTCTATATAAGTTATGGCCAATACATAGTGACTATACAGTATATAATCACTTAATCATGTATATAATATAATCAGTATATAATCACTTAATCATGCATATATTGATTGTATCATAACACTAGAAGTACGGTAGTTTATATCTGTTTCTTTTTCTTATACAAGTTACTTATCTAACTTGTTTTTTATATTCATGTGTATCATGTGCACGCACTGGGAATAAATAAATACATAAAACAGAACAGTAAAAGAATCCTTGCTGTGAAAGCATACTAGAGTCTATTGTAACATGCCCAGAAATGTGCAGCATTCACGCGATACGCGAGGGCGCTACAGTAGGGCTTCACGTGACTCAACTAGCCAATCACAGCACAACAATGGCATCGCACACAGACTCTGTGATAAGTGCTCAGCCCGTTGTCAAGTAGTGTTAGTTCATGGTAACAAGCGTCTGACATGTGCAGAGAAGTTTATTGTAATATATATTGTTCTTATTGTTACATTATTAAATCTAACTCTGTATCCAAGTAGTAACTATACTGTACCAAGTCAGGTACTGATGATGTGCAGAGGTCATATATTCCAGAATAAGCCATGGCCAATACCTCTAATTTATAACTTTAATATTGTTTAATATGTTATTCATGAAAGAGTTCATGAAAGATTATTTTAATTTGTTAAATCGTGATCTAATTCTTTTTATATTCAAATAATTGAATAATGTGGGTAAAATTGGTCTTCCACTTCTTATTTGCATTTTTTCTTTACTACAAGATTATTTTGGAACAGTTGAGGCATTAAAATTTAAAATAAATAGCAATCTGAAAGAAGAATTTTGCATTATTATTAAATGATGATAGGAATTTTGGATTAAGAGATTAGTTAAATACTGAGTAGTGATATTGTCAGTCAATTTATGTAGAATCTGATAATATGATTGAAAATACTGATTGAATTCTTGGCTTTGCACTGGGCAGTTTCACATTTGTGCCAAGCGCTTTTTTTGGACTCCATTGTACAGTGGTAAAAGTTCTTCAATTGCCATGAAAGTTTTTAATCAGACTCTGTATGGTGCTGGTATCTGCTGGTGCTATCGGCAACGAATTAGTTTGCCTTTGTTTCTGAGTGAATCTACCGTCTAAAATCACTATTTCTGAAAATATGTGCGTTTTGCTGAGGGTAGGCTAGGCAATACACGGCAAACTTCTTAGTACGTGTGTACAACAGAATTTTTTTAAAAACCCTAACGATATTTGGTCAGGAGTTGCTTGAAGCATAGCACAGCGATGCTGTCTATCGGCATCAGGCCGTAAGTTAGTCAATTATCACGAATTACCCACGAATCGCGAACCCATTCATTTTCCTATGGCAATCTAGCAACTCATTAAAAGTGCACGCATGCGCAGTGGGCTAAGCGTGACGTCATGCAGTGCATTTCTGGGGATGAGTCGTTATACTCATTTACTTTCTGTATCAGGTGCACCAAATTGCATTATTATTTACTTAATAGCTCGCGCGAGGGCTCTAAGTTTGTATATTGAATAGATAAATAAGCTTGTTAAGCATTTGGTGATTCATCCCGCGGATCGTAAAAGGGATAATAACCCTTCGTTTTGGCCAAAAAATGAATTTTCCTGGAGTAAACAACAATTTTCCCATACTTACCAATGGTTAATTAATTCATTTTTACATTCAAAGTTAGTCCCTGTTTTTTTTTCTAAAAAGTTTGGTTTTTTGTTAAAGACAGTCTCAGTGGGTTAGATTAATGTATAGAAGCAGGTTCTATGTAAAACTTTGGTCAGATTTGTGTTTTGTGAGATTGTTTATTATTATATTAATAAGTCTGGGTCACAAAAGTTCTGTTTAGACAACTAGAATAAAGAATTAGAAAACGAAAACTATTTATCATGATTTCGGAGCACAGCCGGAAGTACCTCCGGCTCAAGGTCACGACCTCGATTTTCCCACGCTTACGACCAATCACAGCAGGCTTCAGTCAGAATGAGACAGACGTCACGACTACAGAGCGAAACTTGTCAGACATGTAAATGCCGCCTGTCCACCTTTTCGGTACATGTACCGATCAAAAACAGAAAACGTAAAGCCCAAAACGCTCTTATACAAGTAACCAACTTTGTATGAGCACAAATATTGTCATTTATTGTGAACAGGATGATNAGAGATGGGTATGGCGGCCCTTACCCTCTAGGAGGAGAAGTGGTAACGGTAACTTGTAGGCGGAGCCGGCGGAACGATCCGGTCGGGACTGAAACCATGTGTACCGACAGTGCTAACACTGGTGGTACAATAAGTCTGGGTCACAAAAGTTCTGTTAAAACAACTAGAATGAAGAATTAGAAAACGAAAACTATTTATCATGATTTCGGAAAACAGCCAGAAGTACTTCCGGCTCAAGGTCACGACCTTGATTTTCCCACGCTTACGACCAATCACAGCAGGCTTCAGTCAGAATGAGATAGACGTCACGACTACAGAGCAAAACTTGTCAGACATGTAAGTGCCGCCTGTCCATCTTTTCGGTACATGTACCGATCAAAAACAGAAAACGTAAAGCCCAAAACGCTCTTATACACGTAACCAACTTTGTATGAGCACAAATATTGTCATTTATTGTGAACAGGATAATATGATAATCAGACACACTTGAGACCTGTGAAGCGCATACTCATGTGTCGAGGAGTAGTTTCGCCATTGCCTCATATGTGAGTCCTAACTCAGCTTTAAGTGTCCTCCACCGCCCCACCTCCCTCCCAACATACACAGTCTGAGTGCTTCTTCGTCTGTCTCTAATTTTCTTTTGTATCTTTCGAACTGGAGTGGCTATTTTCTTTCGTCCCCTTTTGTCGCTCTCCTCTTCAGACTTGACGCGCGACTCCATGTTTGCTGTTTTGGCGCCAAATAGTAACATCCGGGTCTCAGCCGTAGTACTTCATTCATAGTAAACCGCGAGACTTAGCGAGAAATTGGGCGTTCTGAAGCCGTACTGTGAGGTGGTAGCTGAGTATTTAAGACGAGTCGTCTTTTATTATTTATGGAACTTAAAAACGGTATTAGGTAGCTTCATTTTCTGAACGGTTTTGGATAGGATATACCTTGGTCATGATGGGGAAATTGGTGAGATTTCCAGGAAAATTCATTTTCGTGCTATTTTAAGGGTTTAACGCGCTGTCTTTAATAAACTTGTTAATTCCTAGGCCTGGTGCAGTTTGCTAGTACCATTATATCTCTTATATATAATTGGAGGGTAATAAATAAACTGATTAATTAATTAATTTTTTTTCATGCCTGTTCAGATACAAAAGTTAATTCTTTATAGGAGAACATAAGGCACATTGTACTCAAAATCAGTTCCAAAGCACAGCACTGTAGTTACATGAAATTTAAATTTGCAATGTGTTACTTAACGAAAGGCAGTTTAAGTCTATTTAATGTAGTGATTTATTAACACCAGATCCTATAATATTAAAAAAATTTGGTGAAAAAAAATCTCATAATAATCATGATAAAATCCTAAAATCAAAGTCACATTTCTATGAGCGTGACTTAATTAGTCCAGCTTGAAAAAGACTTAAGGCCCATAGGAGTATTAAATTAACTTTAATTCACGTTTTTTGAGTTTTTTGTGTGTTTATATTAATCAAAAAAGTATCTGACATTCGATGTAATAACTCTTTTGGAGTTTGCACTGCAAAATGAGTTTTCCAACCGGCACGCGCCCCAGTCAGACTGACGACTAAGCCACGCCTCTGTTGCTATGGGCTGTTGCCATGAGGGGGCAGAGCAAAGTTAATGAGTAATAAGCTGATTAAAAGGTATTAAGTCTTACATAAACTGAGCAGTGAAGAAGTCGAGTACATTATGGGGAAAAAAAGTTTGTTTGTAAGAAAAATCAATAACAAAAAGAAAAAGAGATACCGGTACGTTACTCTTAGGTCTTAATTTTGGCAATATATATCAGCGAGCGTATCTGCAACACATTACAAAACCAGAAATGTTCGACACCCTTTCAAAAACGTGTTTCGACAGCTCTAAAACGCAACATAGAATCTATTGATTAAAACTCATATTGACAAAAATAAGTTTTCTTCTCTTTCTATGAATATATTAAGGGCCTTGAGAGACACGCAAAAAAAATTGTGATGGGAATGGCTGAATGAGAGAAATTCAAACAAGGGTTGATTGCATGATTTGAAAAAAAAATGCATGTTAGCGGGATATCGCATTTTGCGATGTTTGGAGAAAATTAATTTCAAAATCACTCATCAAGCACGAAGAAAGAGTTCAAAATGTAGGCAAAAGACGGAACTCACAAAAAAGACCACAAGAATAGTCAAGACTAACCAGGCAAAAAGTAATTAGTGTGATGTGTGTAAAAATAATATATGCCTAATTTGCAAATCTGCTACTTGCATAATATCTTTCTTATACAATTACGAAGAAAACAATCATGCAGCGTTACCTATCAAAAACTCATATTTACACTTTCTCTCAGATACAATTTCATATGAACACTTTGTGGATAACAGAAAAGGAAGCTCCCAGGTAAAAATGCTCGAATTCCGAGGATTAAGGCCCATAAAAACATTCAAATGCAACTTCACACCTCTTAATTGCGGTTAAGCGTAATCGCCTTTGTTAGTGCTTCCTACTACATACTGCAAAAATTGGTGCTGTAGCATCATCTGTTGGACACTGCACTCAATCTCTGTCTTTAATTGGCTCCTAAACTGATTTTGTGTGTGTGTGTGTTATGAAGACATCAATTTGACCCTCGATCCTAGCAGCATAAAATAAAATGTTGCAGTAACTAATTCCAATGGTAATTTTAAGTTGAGAGAACTGAATTTCTTGTGTGGCATTAAATTACAAGTATGACTATTCTCTGGTGACTCTTCTACATGATACAAATGTCAAGTCTGATGATTTGAATCACTTATATTGGAAAAAATCCCCACTTCTATACAAGGAAGTGGATGGGTTTTTCCACATATTACCTACCAAAAATTCCAAGTTAATGTATCTACCACTACAAAATTTAAACCCTCAAGGTCATGCACACATAAAAATGTATTGTCCAGCCACAAAATAATAAATCAAACTGGTATTTGTATGCCGTGTAGGATTTCAGCAGTCTTCTTGGAATTAACTTTCATTAAAGGCCAAAGTTATAAAAAGCATATTACCATGTTGAGAGTTGAAAGACTACATGAAAAATAAGTTATGTCACCATCACAGAAAGAAAGTAAACATCAAAAGAATTGTCATACATAACTGTAACAAAGATTAAACCCATTACACCTATCTGCAGCTACATAAACAGGATTTGGGGATTTCCCTATCAATACTACACAGTCCCTAACAGGAAATAAGTCACTGCCATGATTACTCCCATGACTGGCAGCTAGTATAAAAGAACCAAACCAGCTCCTACATGTTCCACACATGTACATCTGCAGCAGCAAAAAAGGAAAGCTGTTGAGTAAATCATCACATTCAAAATGAAGCTGCATATTCTATCAGTGTTTTACATTTGTGCCTTGATACTTCTCCTTTCTTACAAGGCACAGGCACATCGTTATATTATTGATGATGAGGAAGAAGAGGGTGGTGAAATAAGTCTGACGAATGACAAAGAAGTCACTAAAATGCTGAAAGAGCTCAAGAAATACCGTAGTCAAGACAAACAGCAAAAACAAATTAATCAGCTGAAGCAGTTGGCAAGAGAATTGCAGGTATTTAAAATTAATTTGAATTAATTTAAATCATTCCTAAGCTTATGTCTATGAAGCAAGGTCATAAATATGAAAAAAAAAATGGAAATGGTAAATTGCAATGCAAGCAGGAAGAGCAGGTTTTAGAAGAATGAAAAAAAATCATGATCCAAGTATGCATAATTGTGTGACAAAATCCAGGATCCAGAAAACCCAAATAAAATACTTATTGGATAACATTTAAAACTGTATACACTGACATGAATCAAAGTTTATCAATTATTCATATGAACAATATATATATATATATATATATATATATATATATATATATATATATATATATATATATAAAGTATTTCATCACTATTTTTTCTATAGAAACAAGTTGTAATTCTCCATAATAAACTGCATGAATGCAGCAATGAAGAAAAAGAAAGGACTGAACAAGAAGACACATCAGCCAATAAAACATCAATCAGACACAAAAGGAGCATCCAGAATTCTGCTGGTAAGTATAAACTTTACAAAACACTATAGTGAACAGCTCTCCAACAACTTCCTAGAAATACACCTCCTAGATACACATTCAATAGGACTTAAGTAGTAAAAAAAACCAACAAAATTCATTGTATGTTGTCTTGTAGAATACAGTGTATCATATATATATTCTACTAAATGGAAAAATGTCAGCTAAAGGGAATAACAAAAAATATACAACTTATAATGCATTGTTAATGCTCTCAATTTTCTTTTTAAAGAACTAGATCTGTTACAGTCATAACTCAAATTGGTATTTGTATGTCATGTAGGATTCCATGCAGTCTTCTTGGAATTAACTTTCATTAAAGGCCAAAAATCTTATTTAGACTCTATTTCACATACTCTGCATGAGCATTACCTACACTGAAAATACATATGATTTCACAAAACATTGCTGAGAAAAAAAACTCACTTCACAGGTACTACTGGTGGTGCCACCTACATCCGTTGGGGAAGAAGCACCTGCCCACAAGGAGTTGAACTGGTGTATAATGGTAAGGATTTTCATATAGCATCATAATAATGTTACTGATCATTTTCTTCTTGACAGCAAATAAACAATTTCTAATGCCCCCCCCCCTTTCTATGGCAAATGTGATACTGAAGCCCATTCACAGAAGAAACTGAAACACGACTGAGGCTTATATTAATTATAATGTGAAGCCATGAATGATGTTATTTTTAAAATCCTTTAATAGACAAAGGCATCCTATAGAGTTTGATTACAGTTCATTTAAAGATTCAGTTAATATGATTCTTAGATATGTCCTAAGTAATTCACCAAACTTCGACAATAATAAATATAAAGTTTCTAAAATATAATTTGGCCATGAAACCACTCAACAAGATGCATATACATGTAGTTATTTATAGCTGTAAAAATGTTTATTTTACAACATCTCACTTCTCTTTCAGGAGTTGGTGCGGGATCCCATTACACCCACAGCGGGGGAGGCAGCGACTACCTGTGTGTTCCTCATGACCCTGAATGGGGGGTTACCACAGACGGGTTCCAATCCAACTCCTTTCTCTATGGAGTAGAGTTTGAAATACAAGCCAATAACCCCTTCCTCACTCACAACACTCCAAAGCTGACAACAGTGCATGACCAGAGTCCACGTTGTGCTGTCTGTCGCATCCCTTCAAGGTCCAGCCAGGTCATGATTCCAGCTAAAATGACCTGTCCAGCTAGCTGGACCAAGGAGTACGATGGCTATCTTATGTCCTCCCATCACACACAAAAAAAGTCTCAGTTTGTCTGTGTGGACAAGGCCCCAGAGGTAATGGACGGGGGAGATGGCGACCAAAATGGTGCTTTATTTTACATAGTGGAAGCACAGTGCGGGTCACTGCCTTGTCCTAGTTATCTATCTGGGAAAGAAATAACCTGTGTTGTGTGCTCTAAGTAAACTATCCCAGATTTTTTTTAATATTTAATTTTCGCAAGTATTTTTTTTTCTCAGATTTAATATAATTTGTAAATAATTATAATCATTGTTGGCAAATAGAACAGATAATGTCAAGTAAATTTTTCTAAATAAGTATTATTCATTTTTCCGTGAGCTGCTTGTTCTTTGTTTACAGTATTTTTTAGGTTTAACAAAATTTTTGAAAACTGATTGGTAAAGAGAAGAATTGCTATTAATTATATGCTAAGTAAAACATTTGCAAATATTTATAGTAGACAGTTATTGTTTACTATATCTTTTGAAAATAAACCCAGTGTCTTTCACTAACACTTGAATTCTTTCTTTGTTCTCTTTTTATGAATAGTTTCCACTGAAAAAATACACAATACTATGCAGATGACAAAAAACAATTATTCACTCAAGAACTTAAAATGTCATATACTTATTTCATAATAATCTCATCTTTTCAAGATGAATCATTTCCATACTAAGCAATATTCACAAAAACACTTTCTGACATGAACATAATTCACTTGTGATAACTTCAGAAGCATCCTTCAAAATTATTATTAGCAGACTATCATTAAAGTAAATATGATTATTCAATTAAATTGTTGCTAATAAGTAAAAATTGCCCAATATAATAGGGGAAAAACACTGCTCTATTTATAAAAACCTTAAGAACATATTTTTTTTAGGGGAAGGTGCGGGAGCATTATGCATATACAGATTACATATAGTAGGTAAACTCTGTACATCTCCATTTCACTGCCATTATTCAATCAGCTGGACCTGTACTTTACAGCTGACTAGATCATTAAAATTCCCGTGCATTTTCCATCTTTTTTCTTAGAATCTTATCATATATGTGGCCTGACATTTCTCAGGATGAATACACCAAAGCTTCAATTTCACAAAACTGAAAGACCACACCCACAAATAGTACACTAGCAGGACATACCATTTTCTTACAATAACTACTGTAACTACAGAAAAGAATTAAACATAATATTCATGTTCTGTTAATAACCCCCCCCCCCGAGTTATTTCTAGGCCTGGTGCAGTTTGCTAGTACCTGTCACCTACATGTAATTGAAGAGTAATAAGTAAATTAATAATTTAATTAGCTTTTTTGTCTGATGAGATACAATGTATAATTCTTTAAAGGAGAATAGCATACTGAATTCAAATCAGTTCCAAAGCCCAGCACACTCAGTAGTTGACAATGCGTTACTTAATGAAAGGCAGTTTAAGTCTATTTAAGATATTAATGCAGTGATTTATTAACACCAGCATCTATGGGTGCATTCCCATAGATTTTAAATCGATCTATCCCTGTGGGGAGTCTCACTAGATTACTGTCAGATAATCCGGCTTAAGTGTCCGTCCCGCCTACTACAAGCTGTAAGGGGGTAATTAACTTTCGTGCCCGCTCGGCTGACAGCTATTAAGCGTGAACCCCCAGGGAGTTAGGTCGATCTAGTTGGATCGATCTAATCTCTGGGAATAGGGTCTATAATATTTAAATACCTTGGTGGAAAAAGAACACATTACCCTGCAATAACTATCTTAGTGGGATTAAATGTCCTGGTATCTATGCAGGAAATATCCAAGCAGGAAGTTTTCTGCATGGGTGGAAGTGAAATAATTGCTGCACGGTACTGCATACAGGTTACTTCCAAACAAACAAACACAAATAGATTTACGGATTTTTCCTGCTCACCCACAAATCATCTCTTAGCAGGAAATTACTTGTAGTCCAAATTTCCCAACAGGATGCTATTAAAATGATGACCCTCCCTACTTGTTCCAAGTACAAATAGTCGCCCAAAATCTATCTAGATTCAGTGTAAGTCAAATAAAGTTAGAACAATGACTGCAGTTATTGCGACTGTGAGAATTGGCATACTTCTGGCAGCTCTTTGTTGCTTGACCCCTTCACATGTTAGGGGCTATGTGAGCGAGGCTGGACAAGAAGTTCTGATGAAGATGGTGTATGATCTGCAGAAAGACATCATAGATGATAAGAAAAAACTGGCACACCTGGACATGGTGACCCAGGAACTGCAGGAGGAAAACAAAATGTTGAAGGTGAATACTCTGATAAAAATTCTTTTTTTAAATTCTCACCTGTCATCAAACCACTGAAGGTAAATTGTCTTATACTTACTAATTATAATAATTCAATTCATTTTATTAACTGATAACAAAAAAAATAATAATAATCAATTAAGATTTGTGAGATTAAAATTCTCACATAGGATCAAAATGCCACAATCCACATATCAGATACATATGCAATAAAGATCTACTTATATGTGACTAAAATACGCCACTATCCTAAAAAGTGGATGTCCACGAAACATTTAAATTCTTGTCCATTATAATTTATCAGGAAAAATTGAAAGATTTTCGCAAAAGGGAAGAAAAACCAGTTGAAGGGCTCAACAAAACTCTGATAAGGTACAGAAGGCAGATCCAAAATTCTCCTGGAGCAGGTGATTAACATTCTAAATTTGTAATCAACTTGTTAAATGTTCTATTTAATAACTTGATTATCTCTACATTCACAACTTCATATTTATTTCTTTTTTAAACTGCTTTATAGTAGTCCTCAGTATTAGCAAAGTGGCAAATTAATTCAATCAAATAAAGAGAGATTTCATTTTTCTAAAAGAGTCTGATTTTCCAGTGAAATTGATCAGTGTCCAAGTTCATAACTTTTATATGTTGATAATGTTTGCACAAAAATATCCTCAAACAGACATATTTTCTCTGGCTTCAGGTGGAGCAACATATGTGAGATGGGGCAGAACGGTATGCCCAAGTGGTGCCGAAAAGGTATATAATGGTGAGTTATTTCAGCATTAACTATATGTTCTTTCCTACATATGTACAGACATGATGTATCTGAAGTCATAGTCATCACCTTTGTCTGTTGTAGCATTGTAGCTGTGCACTTTTTACCATGAACACAATTTATGGAAAAGCCTGTAATTTATTATTCTCACTATTATTTGATTAATTTATGGTACTAAAATACAGGTCAAGTATCAATTTTGGAATATTTAATTTTTTTAATTTTTAATTATTTGATTTATTTTCTTAAAGTTATGCAGTTTTTAAGTAATTTTACATTTTCACCTACTGTCATTGTCGGTGTGTTACTTTGAAATGCTAGTCGCGTTTTCTCAATACCTATAGTACAAAATTAAAAATGGTTGTTAAATATGTTATTTATCATTATGTGTACTACTGCATCAAAATTGACAAAAAACATTCTGTATACTGCCACTAAAAATACTATTTCAGGAAAACCACAAAACTTATTCATCTCTAATGTACAAAAATTATTCTTAGGACAAAAAACAGCTCAAATAAGAAAATCAGCTAATGATCAAGATTATTTTTCTGGGAGTTTTGCAGATGTTTGTGAAATTTTCATTTTTCACTTAGTGGCATTTTCAGTGTGTGACTTTGAAATCTCATTGGCCTGAAGTCCAATATAATATACTTTCTGAATGTTCATGTTATCTCTATATCACATGGCTGTGGTGATTATATCATTTATCGTTATGCAATATTGCATCAAACTTGACAAAAACTCCATAAAGTCTGTAAGAAAAAACAACTATTCTAAGTTCTTTCTTTATTTCAGGTGTGGTCGGTAGTTCTTGGTACGACCACAATGGAGGTGGTGCCACCTATCTATGTCTTCCTCATGATCCTCAGTGGGGGACTGTCACTGAGGGCTACCAGTCAAAATCTTACATGTACGGAGTGGAATTTGAAATGTATAACAATGACCCCTTCCTCAAAACCAACGTGGATAGAAAAATCACCAGTTTGCAAGACCACACAGCAGTCTGTGCTGTCTGCCGCATCCCAACAAGGACCAGTCAAGTGATGATTCCAGCCAAAATGGACTGTCCAGCTAGCTGGACCAAGGAGTATGGAGGCTACTTGATGTCCTCTCATCACACGCACAAAAAATCAGATTTTGTCTGTGTCGATAACGCCCCAGAGGTTAATGACGGGGGTGTTGGGAATCAAAATGGTGGACTTTGGTATAATGTTGAAGCGGCTTGTGGTTCTCTCCCCTGTCCTAGCTATGGTGATGGGAAAGAACTCACATGTGTAGTGTGCACTAAATAGAACTGCTGAGTATATTAGCCTTAAAATCTAAAAAAATTACTATAAACAGGTAGAGATTTAACAAGGACAGACAGTTTTATAGTTTTGTCTGCTTCGAGTATGATTAAATCATGATCAAGAAGTATAATCCATGGAAGCAACTGTTTACTAGAGTTGATTATGAACTTACATGCAATGTGTGATCTAAGAATATTAATGACTCAATCTTTTTTCAATGGGGAAAATTTTGAATTTTACAGTGTATTTTTTAAGTCATACATTCTTAAAATTAGAACATCTCTATAGAGTGGTAGTAACAAAATTAACAAAAAAAGGCAGGCTACTTTACATGTACATTTCCATTTTATATGGCAAAAACAACAAATATTTTATAGAAATATATCTTTTATGATTCTAAAATTTTGCACTGAAAAAAATGGAACAATAATTATTCCCATTGAAAAGAGCAAGTCATTACAATAACTGTAGTATTATTCAAAAGGTGAGACAACTTAGTTTCAATATTTACATGTTTTTAACAGATCTAAATTGTACATGTTTTCTCTAATCAAAAATAAAATCATTTGTATTAAAACTTTTACATAATAATAAAAGATATTCATATGAGACAAACTGATTTACAGAAATTATTAGTAATACGCAGTGATGTGGATCAACAGTCTTGAGTTCATCTTGCCCAAATATGAATAATAATATGTGGGGACAATATCGCTAACAATTTATCTTACAAAGCAAGAACAAAATTTTCATTCTCAACAGATGATTAATGGAATCAATGAGCTTTGGTCAATGGGGTTTCCCCAGTCCTGATGTTTGTAGGCATAAACCCTGAATTCTTGTCCATGCAAGTTTGAAGAACTCATCTCTGGACTCATCCAAGTTTTCATATGGTGCGTTAGCATGCATACCTTTAACAATTTCACTATTTTGCAGAATACAGGATGTTATAACATAATCATGCATGCTTCTGGTTGCTAGGACCTACTAGTACTATAGTCAGCTCAATATTAAAGGTTGACCAGCAATTTGTAGTTTTAACTTAAAATTACTGAAAAATGAAGTATATATTAGCCTGAAGAAAAACCTTCAACATCAGAAACTTTAAATTTTCCATGAGGTTGATTCCAAGATCTCTTCTGAAGGCCCCAAGTATATATATATATATATATATATATATATATATATATATATATATATATATATATATATATATATATATATATATATATATATATATATATATAAGCATATGAAAATACTTTAGCTTCAAAGTGCCAAAAATTAACACATGTTCATAATAATTAACAATAATTTATCATCAATTTGAGTGATACAATGATAATTTTAGCACAAAAGATAAAAGTAAATAATCAAAATCAAATAAATGGAAATGCAATAAAACCAGTTAAATATAATTATAGGTCATCCATAAAAACTTCTTAACTTGTGTAAAGTTTTACTCAGTCTACTCATCTAGATTCTTGCATTGTAAATTTTGTCCTGGGAAATGACAGAGTGATAATATAATGACAGGAG